GACTGTGGCCCCACAGTACGTGCCTTCACTTCAGCTTTTTGCCTTAATCTGTGGTCTCGCTGTCTGGGGCGGTGAACAAAATGCAACACTTGCAGTTTTTATGTATAAAACAGTATTTCTTATTTATAATAAAGTCTGAATATTTGTAACCCCTTATACCTCAGGATTCTTTCAAGTATTGCTTTTTTTTTTGGTGGGGTTTGGTTTCCATCCCAGGGTTTGCTTCTCGTTTGGTGATGTCCAGTGTTGGATTGCTATGGCTGCAAGGAGTTCTGAGCTGTGGTTCTTCCAGTCTGTAAGAAATGTGCGTGAGCTGTTGGTGTGATGCAGGACAGGAAGGTGGGAGGGGTGGTTCCTTGTGTTGTAGGGGAGCAGTCCTGTCCCTCCCCAGCTGAAGAGGGGCTGCTGAGGCGGAAGGATTGCCTCCAGGGGGAAAAGAGACCCAAAATAAAGGGCCTGGCATTCCTTTCACTGGAACTGCCAAGAGCTCTCTGTTGTTCACCGGTCCTATTTGCAAGGACACAGAAATTTTATTCTCAAATTCTGTTCTGAATGTCAGGACAGGTTACTGTGATAGCAGACAGCCCAGCTTTGAAATCCAACCAGTCTATGTTTGGGTTTCTTTTATTTTTCTCAGCAGAAGAAAATGCACACGTCTCGTTAACTTGCATTATACTTAATCCCTTCTCAAATATTAAGTTGTTCTTCCCCCCTTCACCATTTTCAGATTGTCTGGTTGCAGCTTTATTCTGAAACTGCAGTTGCTGCTGATGGATTCCCAATCCGGATGCAGTATTACTGCATTTTGGGTTTTACACCTCAGTGTTGATGAAGCTGTGTGTGTGTGGATGTATATATAAAATACGTGAGATAGAGATAATAGCTTAAAAACCTATAACTGGAGATTCTTCTCTGCTCCCTTGTGGCCAAGGCTCTGTTAAGAGCAGCAGGTTGGCAGTGCCCACTGTGCTGCATGGGGGGAAACCTGAGGATGCTTCCAGCTGTCCCTGGGTGGTATCTCCATCATGAAATGCTATTTCCAGTGCAGGAGATGATGCTGAGCACTCTGGCTGTCATGATGGTCAACAGAAGGAAGGTGGGCACCTGGGGGTCCTGCTCACTGGTGGCTGTGCCAGGTTCAATGTATTGCTGAGCTACAGAAGCTTGTGAAGTGAATGCTCCAGTCCATCCAGAAGAGCTGACAAAGGGCTTTCTCCCTGGGGTAGGGGGAATAGCCAATACTGATGTTTCACTGCGCAGGTAGAGAGAATCTGAGGATTTCCGCTCTGTGTGGGCTGGGTTCAGCACTGAGGTCCTCATCAGGAGAGACCTTTCCAATGCCGTGCTCTGGTGGCTTTCCTTCTCTTAGTCCCAGTGCCCAGAAGGCTTCCTGAGGAGGGGCCTTCCTGGGAAATGCCAGCACCCCTTATCTCCCCGCCTGCCACGTGTCCATCTGTCCGTGTCTCCTTTGGGCAGGGCAAGGCGATGCCTGGCATGCTGCCACTGCCCTGCCTTGCTTGCTCATTGCCACAGCCCTGAGGCGAGGAGCCGGGCGGCCCTGCGGCTGTCATCAGCACAGGATGCGTCACCGCCGGGCATCCTTCCTCTCAGCCGGCCCTGTAACCCGGGGGGAACGTGTAGCGTGTGGGATTTGGCTTCCCTGAGCTATCAGAAGCATTAGCAGCAATATTTTGATGCCTTGTTGTCTTTAGGAACAAGTGGGAGTGGTGAGCGCCGCTGGTGGGCTCTGTTGGGGCACTAGTTGCTGTCCTACAGAGCAGCTGGCATGCTGAGCACAGCCAGGCCCAGAGGTCTTGCCGTGCCCCTGCCCTAATCCTACAGCTCTCTGCCTGGCCAAAATGAACATGGGCTGCCCCAGCTGTTGAGCTGTGGGTCCAAATAGGCCAGGAATGTCAAGAAAAGCCTTGCAAGTGCCCAAGGATGTCTCCTGAAGAAAGCATGCATTTTCCTGAGCAAGGGGTTTAGAGGATTAGCTGATAATGTTGGAGTTCTGCTTTAGGTACTGGGTTATGAAATAGCTCATTTTCAGGGTAAATGCCTGATTTGCTGCAGAATAACACCATACATACCATGGAAATTCATACATGGGAGCACAGCAAGGCCCATAGCAAAGGCACCTGCCTAGCAAGCCAGAGATTGAAGTCTATGCTTTACCAGCGGGCCATGCACTTAGGAGCCTGCTGAGTTCTATCACTGAGCCTTCCCTACCAAGAAAGGCACAAATGGAAGGATTGAGTGCTGCCGTGAGGCCAGAAGAAAGCTCCATACAATGGAAGATGGTGGACGTGTGTAGGTGAACACATGCTTATGGTGCAGTGACATCTGGAAGGAAAACAAGCGAGCACACATCTGCAGGTAATCCACACCTTCATAACTCCTGAAGGAGAAGCCCATAGGGGCTTGCTGGTATGGCCACACCAATATGACTGTGGTTTTCATGTGTCTAGAACCAGTGAGAATCAGCACGATTCAGAGTGTTTTGTGGATTCGATGTATCTTTGGAGTGCTTCATTTTGGTACGGTTCCCTGTAGCAGTAATGTTAGCTTCCTTAGCCCTGTTGCAGGGAATGAGTGAAGGACAGCTTCAGAGAGACTCTTCTGTTGTTGAGAAGGAAAGGGAAGGGCAAGCCCAGCTTCTCCAATAAGGTAATGTTGCTCTGCTACAATATCTGCTGATTATCACTCTTGTGCCTCCAAATGCCTACTGCTGCTTACCTTGATTTTACTCTCAAAAGTGTTATTATTTCAGCCAACCATGTTTGCATGAGGCCTTCTCCAAACAGTGCTGCCATGGGTGATGAAGGGCAACATTTCTTCAGGAGAAGGTGGCAGGCATCAGTTTGCTCTGAGTCTGCTGTGCTTTAAAAAGCAAGGTCCTCAGAAATGCGCTTTGGATGGCACTGTGCACGTATTGATGCTGTTTTCAGAGGTAGGATAATGGTGGAGGATGGCAAGGTGAACGTAACCAAAGCAAATATGCAGAAATGACTGGGGAGAGAGCTGTGTCAGTGCTTGTTTGTAGAGGTGAAGTCAGAGGCGGAGTGATAACGGCGAGACAGGAGGAGTAATGTGGAGGAGATGGATAAGGGGAAATTGTGAGTCTTGGGGGAAGCTTCCTGCTGGTGAGAGAGGTTTTCTAAGGGAGAACTCGGCCAAGAATTTGGGTTTTGGAGAACAGATTCAGTGCATTCCATTACAGGGATTAACAAACCCAAAAGGACTCTGCCAAATTGATGCCAACACTGTGTTATTCTTTTGCTCCTCAAAAAACAATAGGAGAATCAGATAAGACAATCTCAATGCCAAAAGTCAACATGCCACCAGCATATTCGTGAAGCTGACTTCCTTGTTGTGAACTATAATAAGACCCAGTATATGGGATTAGAAAGGAGCAGCCTGTTTGTAGAAGAGAGTTGAATCAGTCTGCGGAGGCAGGTACATTTGGCAAAGGAAGTCACAAAAATTTGGTGACTTCAGGCTGGTTGCACCCATGAGATCACTGCAGTGTGAGGAGGCACCTGGGGAAGCCCTGAGTCATTGCTGGCTATGTGAGCATGTGGATGGAGGCTGTGGGGCACTGTAGAAGAGAAAGGAAACATAAGCGTTATGAACCCCAGATCTGTTAGCTCTGGAATGAGAAGTGAATCAGCACTGTTTGGGCTGAGTTTCAGTCCTTACTGTGGAAAGGTAAATGGGGCGTTGGGCTGGGGGTGAGCTTGTTGTACTTCTTCATGTAATGGTGCTGGTGTCTGTGGACCACTGCAGTCAGACCAAGATGACAAGTAGGAGAGGTTCTCAGATGCAGCACATGTGCCATCATCCCATTTATCCTGATGTTTGGCTGTGGGCAGGGCAGGAGGACCTGGGGGTTGGTTTCACACTGATGGCTAACTCAGCTCTACCACACTGCTCTATCGCTGTCCTCCTCACAGGAACAGAGGGAGAAAATATGATAAAAAGGAGCTCAAGGGTTGAGATAAGAACAGGGATGTTGTTCTTACCAAACTGTTCCTGTGTTGGCTTCCCACGGGCCACAATGTGGGTCCCTACCAGGTCCTCCTGCCCTCTCTTCCTCTGCAAACAGGGTTGTGTCTTCCCAAGGTGCAGGAGAAGAGTGAGGTGGGACTGTCCCTCGTGTATCATGCAGCACAGTGGCTCTCCTTGAGACCAAAATGCTGTGGGGCTCTGGAGCATCCATTCCTCATCCTTTTCTAGCATAAACCCTACTGAAATGGGTCAGGCCAAGGGCCTATACAACCTCATGTTCTATCTCAGGAGTAAAAGCAGATACATGTAGATAACAGATCTTGGTAATTCCCAGCCTCCATCCCGTCTCTAAAGCTGGGGATTTCCTGAACCTGGTGCTGGTAAATCCTGATAGATGTCTTCTCTTAGCACATATCTAAGTTGACCTCAGGGGCTTTTTGCACCCTCAGCACCCTCTGGCTACAGGTCCTGCTGGTGTCCTCACTTGCCTCCAGCCTCACTCCTGCAGGGCTGCTTGGACAACATGGAAGGCTGCACAGACAGTGCCTGTCCCCCCTCCCCAGGCTTCCCGTGATCTCATCCCATCCCGCTCTGCTCTGTGCATGCCCGGACAGCCCCAGCCTTGTGTTCAGAGCTGCCTGGGGAAGAAGCAACATGGCTGGGAAAGAACTGGACGGATGGGATAGAGCTGGACAATGGGTAGCTGTAGGGACCGCCTCATTGGGAATCATTTTGTTCCCCCAGGACGATGCCATTGGGATGCCCTCAGGGTGCTGCATCTCAAAGCCCAAAGGCAGCGGGCACGTGTGTGCCTGCCTGCTGCCCCAGGCTGGGCGCTCCTTGCTCACGGTGAGTCAGAGCCGGGCACACGCGCTCTTCCTGTTGGGAGTGACTCAGGTGGAGCAGCCGATAAAAAAGGAAAAGCAAAGCCTAAGAGCAGCAGCCTGGAGCTGGGGCTCCGCATGCCCAGCGCCCACCCTGGGGCTGCAGCGATGGCCGTGTGCTGGCTCCTTGCCCTGGCTGCGTCCCTGCTGCCTGCAGCCCTGAGCACCAGCGGAGGAGAAGGTGAGGGCTGGGGAAGACTGGGGGCTCAGCTTTAAGGCCCCGGTAATGGTGAGCCATTTGGGTCCAGTGGTGCTCTTCTGCTGGTTCCCACTCCATCGCTGGGGATAAACCTGGACCTGTAGGTGCTTTTCTTGAGGTTTCCTCTGGAGTTAGATTCCCGGAATCACTCCGTTGTTGTTTTTTTTTTTTTTTTTTAACCTGCGTCTCCTTTAAATAACTTGTTAGGTGTAATTCCTTTATTGCTTTCTGGAGAAAGCCTGGCTGCCTGGGTGGGACGTGGGTGTGAGCAGGAGGACTGCCTGGGGAAGGGCTGCCTGTTTGTCTGCTGCCCGATAAGTGGTGTGTCCCTGTGCCCAAGGAGGAGCAGGGGACATGCAGGACCTGACTCTGTGCAGCAGCACATGAAGGGCTTGTGTCTGTGCGAGCTGGCAGCTTGTGGGACGCATGGAGCCCAAAGATCCAAATCACGTGTATTTCATAAATGCTGAGCAACTTCAGGATTGTTTACTGTGTCTGTCATGCTGCTGCTGCTTGGAAATGTGGTTGCTGGGTTCGAAGCAGGTCCTTTGGTATCAGCTTTCATTTGAGTGCGGTGGAAGCTGATAAGGAAAAATAAGTGCTGAATGAGCGGGTTTTTAAAGGACAGATTGATTAGGTTTTCCTGCTAATTGAGCAATTACTACAGCAGCCATAATTGCATTTCAGAATCCTGGTACAGGTTTTTATTTCCCACCTCTGCTGGCTCCTTTGGCTGTGAGACATCTGAGCCATGCTGGGAAGGCCAGGGCTGCAAAGCACAGGGGTTGTGTTTCGTTGCTGCAAGGGCTTTGCTATGTGGAAAGTCTGATGGAAGAAGGGCTCCTGATGGATGGGCTCATAAGGGTTGGGCTAGTGGCTCCTCGGTGCCCTGCAGCCAACAGAGGTTTCTGTTCTTTCTCAAAGCCAATCTGATGCTGGAATTTGCACCAGCACGGCAACCAACTTTGATCGTTGTGCTCAATGGGTGGAAGCTTTGGAAGTGACATCCTGTTGGGTGCGTGCCCCAGGCTTTCCACATCCCAGTGAGGCCCTTTGCCCTCCAGAGCAGCCCCTTCACCACAGCCATGAAAGTCAGGGAATGATGGTGGGGCCTTGGGGCATCTGGCTGCCTGCTGGAGCCCATAGGCTTCCAGGAGATCAGCAACAGAACCAATGACATGGGGCAGCAGTGTCTCAAATGGCTTTGTGTTAGTGAACCTGGAATCCATGCCAAGCTGGGAGTTGGTCCCGAACATGCTCCAGCCTTGGAGCAAGGCCTGAAAACAGGCATTTGTTCCCTGTGGGAGCTGTGCTTGGCACCAGCACTCGGATCACGTAGGGTGAGGTGTGGGTGGGGATCGGTGCCTCTGCATGGAGGGGTGGGGAGGGGACCGACTCCGAGCACGCAGGTAGGGAGTGGAAGCACTGAGTATAAACAACCTCATGTTGTTTTTGCATTCCTGTGCTGGATTGTTTCTGTGCTCTGTGTCCTTTGGTTGCTGGCTGTGTCCACGAAAGCTCTTCTCTTGGTCCCACGGAAGGGCTGAGCGTGCCAGGGCTGGGAAACCTCCATCCCTGTTTGCTGGTGCATGAGGTCATCTTCCTTCTCGACAGCAGCTGCTCACTGAGTGTGCCTGTCTGGTATGTGTGCACTAATGGGCGTGCGAGGCGGCTGGCAGCATTGCAGCATGGAACCAGGAGGCATTGCATGGCCCCAGGAACCCCAGAGGAGGAGAACAGGGCTGTAGGGCAGTTTGCCAGGGCTGAGCTGTGCCACAGGAGCCTGGGGAGAGAGGATGCTTGTTCTTGGGCCTCATCCATGACTATTGGTCTGGGACTGCACCTGGGGTCCTGAGGAGGCCCCTGGGAAACAGAGCTCCTCCCTCCTGAGCTGTGATAATGGGGTGGAAGCAGGTTTGGGAGCAACACTTCAGGCAGGGCTGGGCTGGCTGGGAGCAGTACAAGAAGAACTTAAAACTGAGTGTCCAAGGTGGGTTACAAAGATACTGAAGGGTCTAGAGTGGGAGATGCACGAGGAGCAGCTGAAGTCCCTCGGTTGTTCAGGCCACAGAGCAGGCAGAGGGGAGACCGCATGGCAAACTGAAGCTTCCTTGTGATGTGAGATGAAGAAGCAGACATTGATCTCCTCTCTCTGATGATAGTGATAGAACCTGAGGGAATGGCGTGGAGCTGCAACTGGGGAGGATCAGGTTTGATATTAGGGAAAGGTTCTTCACCAAACGGTGGAGGGCACTGGAACAGGTTTCCCAGGGCAGTGGTCATGGGTCAGCTTGTCAGAGTTAAAGAAATGTCTGGACAGTGCTCTCACACATACTGTCTGAGTTTTGGGTGGTCCTGTGTGGAGCCAGGAGTTGGACTTGGTGATCCTTATGGGTCCCTTCCAACACAGGATAATCTATGATTCTGTAATCTGTTCGTCCTTTGTGATTCTGAGGAGCTGGAAAATTCATCTGAGATAAAGCTCACACTTAAATGCTGTAGTGCTGGTAACTGAGGTCTTGGCAAATAGATGAGAGCTGGTTTCATGAGAAGACCTGGGCAAGGCCATGGAAATGAGTGTGCCCAGAGAAGGGCACTGAGCAGTGCAGGGTCTGGAGCACAGTGTGATGGAGAGTGGCTGAGGGAATGGGATGGGACAGTGTGGAGAAGAGGAGCTCAGGGGACACCTCATTTCTCTACAACTGCCTGAAAGGAGGCTGTGGTGAAGTGGAATTGGCCTCTGCTCTCAGGTAACAGCAATAGGATGAGAGATGGTGGCCTCAAGTTGTGCCGGGGCAGGTTCAGGTTGGGTATGAGGAAAGACTTCTCAGAAGGAGTGGTGATGCACTGACACAGGCTGCCCAGGGAGGTGGTGGGGTCACCGTCCCTGGAGGTGCTCAAGAAAAAAAAGGGTGGGTGACATGGTCTAGAGTGGTCACAGGCATGAGCTGACAGTTGGACTGGGATGATCTTACCAGTCTTTCCAGCCTGGACAATTCTATGTTCCTTGGGTTGTGGTTGAGCTTCATATTCAACACTCATCCCTCTAACCCTCTTCGGATGCTGCTCTTTTCTTTTCTCCAGCTTGTGACTGCAACGGGATGTCCAGGCAGTGTGTCTTCGACTGGCAGCTCCTGATGGAGACGGGCAATGGGTATCGCTGCCTCGGCTGCCTGGGCAACACGGCGGGTGCCCGCTGTGAGCGCTGCAAGGAGGGATACTACCGCCAGCGGGATGGGGACTGCTGCCTGCCCTGCCACTGCCACCCTCAGGGTATGGGGCGCCCACAGGGACCAGTGTGCTTACGGTTGGGTTTTGGCTTTGTTTTCCAACCAAGGATGAGGGGTGGTGTCCGTCCACTGTCAGCAAATTGTGCTGCCTCTCTGGATCCAACCCCTTGCTCTTCTCGGCATGGTGTGACACCCGCTGATGCTCAAGAGGTTCCTCTGGTGATGCCCGATGCCATTAGATGAGCTCACACTTGTGCAAAGCTGGGTTCTGCAGACCTTGTGGATGGTGGGAGAAGGGAAAGAGGAGAAACAACCCCAAAATTCCCCAAACAAGCTGTATTGTGGCAAGATCTCTTCACACCCAGGAGGGAGCCTGCTCCTCTCTGTCCTGAATTTGGCAGGTGACCAGGACCAGAGGCCCCATGGCAAACTGCTCATGTCCTTATCACAGAGGGTGCTGGCCAGGCCCAAGCACAGGGAGCTGAGTCTTTTCCTGGCCTCATGAGTCAGACCTAAGGATTCTGTGTGTTGCCATGTTTGGCAGGATTTGTGAAGTCCCTTAATTGCACTGTAAAAATGAAAAAGTAATTTCGGAGCCCACATGGGGACAGGAGGTGCTGCAAAATGCCCTCACTCTGGGGATAGGCAGGAAGCATCCAGAGTACATCCCACCAGGCAGATGGTGGCACCTCCCTGACCTCCCTGTCCCACCACCCACAGGCTCCCTCAGCACGCAGTGTGACAACAACGGCCGCTGCAGCTGCAGGCCTGGTGTGATGGGTGAGAAGTGCGACCGCTGCCAGCCGGGCTTCCATTCCCTCTCTGAGGCCGGGTGCCAGGGATATGGGCAGTAAGTTCCGGGGCTGTCCTGCGCTGGGGCATCACTGCTGCGTCCTCTTCATGCTCACTTTGTCCCACTGTTATCCCTCTGGGAGATTCTCTGATGTCTCATATGACAATTGTGCTGGGGCGGTGAGCCTCTGCCCGGGCTGAAGGTCCCTTTAGTGTCCCCACTGTCCCCATTGCAGGAGCCAGCTGTGTGCCTGTGACCCAGCTGGCACAGAGGACTGTGTTTCGGGCCGTTGTATCTGCAAGGTTGGTGTCACTGGCGAGCAGTGCGACAGGTGGGTGGCTGGAGGTTTGTGCCCTACAGCAGGCCGAGCATGAGAGGAGAAAATGCACGCAAATGATGTCATCTTTCTTTTCCAGGTGCAAACAAAACTTCTATAACTTGGATGCCAGGAATCCGGCTGGGTGCTCTCCATGCTTCTGCTATGGACATTCGTCCTCATGTGTCAGCGCTGAGAATTACAGCGTCCACAAGATCATCTCCAACTTCCAGCAAGGTGAGGCTGAGCAGGATGTCCCCACAGCCTCAGGGCTGGCATACCAGGAGGGGATTGACTGGGGGTGCCTTCTCCTTGTTTTCCCTCCAGGTCCTGAAGGATGGATGGCTGCCTGTGAAGACAGGTCCCCAGCTGAACTCCAATGGTCTCCACGCCACCAGGATGTGTTCATAGCAGCAAGGAGATGGGAAGCACTGTACTTTGTGGCACCCGGTAGGCATGGGGAGTATGGCACGGAGCTGAGCCCAGGCCTGGGCTCGTATGGGGAGAATGGGGTGACTGAAGGGTCTGTGGGGCTGGGGAAGGTGTGAAATGGGCAGAATGAAGGGCCCGTGCTGGGGAAGGGAGGTGGTACCCCAGTGCTTCCACTGCCTGAGAGGTGGCAGTGGTGGCAGCCAGCACAGTGATACTTGGTCTGACCTCGTGGAGCATGACTTTAGGAGGAAAGGAAGACTTTAGGCCTTTAATTTCTTCCTTCTGCTCTTCTCCCCTGCTTCCCCATGCAGCCAAATTCCTTGGGAACCAACAGCTGAGCTATGGCCAGACGCTCTCCTTCGATTACCGCCTGGACCGAGGGGGACAGCTGCCTTCTCCACATGATGTGATCCTTGAAGGAGGTGGCCTCCGAGTCACTGCCCCCTTCTTGCCCTCCGGGAAGGTTTTGCCCTGTGGTGTCAGCCAGACCTACACCTTCAGGTGACAGGGTGCTTGGGATTGTGGAAGAAAGGCTTTGGAAGCTTGTGGATTCAGTGATGGTCCCTCAGAGGTGGTCAGGCTCAAATAGTCACCCTGTTTGGACCTGGTTCAGCTTGTATGATTCTCTCCCTGTAGATAAAGAGAGGGCAAGAGGGGTTGTAGAAGATCTGCTCTGGGACTGGGAGGGGTGCTGTGCTTGGTACAAGTTGTGTGGGAGGAGGGTGCTAGTGCTTTGGACTCAGGAGGAAGATGGGAGAGAGCAGCTGGGACATCCCATGTTCCTGAACACTGCTTCCACCTGGCCCCATGTGCAGGTTGGACGAGCACCCAGGCAGCAAGTGGAGCCCCAGGCTGAACCACTTTGAATACCGCAGGCTGCTGGGAAACCTGACGGCCCTCTGGATCCGAGCCACCTTCGGGGAGTACAGTAAGTGAGGGGGATAGCAAGGGGGCAGCACAGCTCTCCTTGCTGGAGACACCTAGCCGGACACAGCTGTGCTAAAAGGTATTTTAAAAAGCATTGTATTGTGGGCAGAGCTATATCACGAATTGTTTAAGCTAGATGCCAACAGCGATGGGTGGAGGGAAGCAAAACCTTGGCCAAGATCCATCTGCCCACGAATGTTGTAGTTGACCTTGCAGAGATCAGCATGTAGGGGCTGATATGGGGCTCGCAGACCCAGCTGGGCTCTTGGTGGTGATGTGCCACATCTCCCACCAGGCACTGGCTACCTTGACAACATCACCCTGGTATCAGCACAGCCTGCTGCCGGCATCCTCGCGCCTTGGGTGGAGCGGTGCCAGTGCCCCGATGGCTACCAAGGGCAGTTCTGTGAGCAGTGTGCTGCTGGCTACAGGAGGGATGCACCCCACATGGGGCCGTTCAGCATCTGTGTGCCCTGCAACTGCCACGGTGGTGGGATCTGTGACCCGGATACTGGTAAGAAAAATCGTGACCTCTCTGAGCTTGTTGGGTGTGTGAGGCTGGAACAGACATCAGATAGTGATGTGGAAATGTTTTGCTGCCTGTGTTGTCAGAATAGCCTGCAGTGTCGCAGTGTGAGCTCAAAGCAGTGCACTTTTCACTTTGAACAATGATGTGGTTTGGTGGAGCCTCAATGGAGTCTCCTCAGCCCCTTTGCCTCACATGCTGTATGTCCCCTCCCGTGTTTCAATTCAAAGAGAACAGCTGAGGCTGAGTTGCTCATCTTCATAGCCGTGCAGGGTGTCCCACAGAGGGGACAGCTGGGCTGATGGCCAACTGGTTGTCCCATGCCCTGTCCCTCCTTCCTTAGGTGAATGCTACTCGGGAGATGAAAATGTGGGGAACAGCATCAGCTGTCCATTTGGTTCCTACCGAGACCCCCGACCCCCGCACAGCTGCAGGGCATGTCCCTGTGGCCATGGCCAGAGCTGCTTAGTGCTGCCAGGCCAGGAAGTTGTCTGTGACCATTGCCCTCCTGGAGCTGCAGGTAAGGCTCAGATCATTTCTGCCATTAGCCCATCCCCTGGAGTCATAATGTGCATTATGTGGGTGCTTGCTGCCTGGGATGCTTGGAGCTGGGGGACAACGCCTTCTCCCCACGTCTTCCTCACCTGCGTACTCTTGCTTGTAATCAGGTGTTTCAGCAAAGCACTGGGACACATCATGCTGTGCAAATGTGCATGCCCTGCCCTGGTAATGCATGCATACATCTGCTCATACAATCTTTTGGAAAGGCTGTTGTGCAAACAGATTAAGTTGATGGAGAAAGGGCTGATGGGGAGGGAGGAGAACAGAACTTAGAGGCCCCAGCATATCATAATTTGCCTAGGGAAAGCCATTGTGCCCATTTTGTTGTCAGCTTTATGTGCAGGGTGTGGAAGCCTACAGGCATCCTGTGAGAGGTGTGATGCTCACGTGTGGGCCTTGGTGTCAGCCGTGTCCCCATCCCTGCGGTCAGGTGGCCGCCAGCATTGGTCCAAGATCCTCTCCCTTTCACAGGGCCCAGCTGTGAGTTCTGTGCTGACGGCTATTTTGGAGATCCTGCAGCCTCCCAGCCATGCCAGCCATGCCAGTGCAATGACAACGTGGAGCCCAACGCCGTGGGGAACTGCGACCGCCGGACAGGAGAGTGCCTCAAGTGCATCCACAACACAGCCGGCTTCCACTGCGAGCGCTGCAAGGATGGCTTCTTTGGGAACCCCCTGGCCCCCAACCCTGCTGACAAGTGCCGGGGTACGAGGGTGGGGATGGGTGTGTGGGGCTGCACTGTGGTGGCCGCAGGGTGCAGGAGGTTTCAGCAGCCACAGAGCAGCTCCCTGGGGCCAAGCAGGAGCATCTTGATGGGCACGGTTTGAGTAACAGCACTGGGGATGAGTAAGGAAATCCATGCTGGAGTGCAAGAGAGCTTAAAGGGGAGGATGTGGTGTATTTGCACTTGGCCTTATGGCTTTCAGTGTTTGCTCCAGAACCCTGGTGGAGGCACTGAGTGGTGTTTGCTCAGTGCACTCTCCCAAGACCAGTGGTTTTTCTCAGCGAGGTCTCTCTCACCAGAATGGGAGGAGACACACCTGCAGATGAGATGCAGGAAAGTTAGGGAGAATCAGGAAGGATAGCGGGTGGAAAGATGTGCACAGACCAAATGGAAGAGGGTCATTGGCCACTAATCTCTCACTGTGCAGCTTGCAGCTGCAACTCAGTAGGGGTTGAGCCCCTGATGTGCCGGAATGATGGGAGCTGCATCTGCAAACCTGGCTTTGGGGGCCCCAACTGTGAGCAGAGCGAGTGCCCAGCCTGCTACAGCCAAGTGAAAGCCCAGGTGAGTGCCCACCTATCCATCTGCCTGTCCTTCTCAGGGGTTGGGCTGTGGGTTCCTGCTCTTCAGGCAGAGTTGTGCTGATGCTCCAGCTGTTGAGAATCTTTGAGGCAGTCACCCAGCATCCGATGATCTGATCCTCTGTGGTTGCAGGTGGACCTGTACCTGCAGCAGCTGCGGGAGCTGGAACTGCTTTCCTCAGAGGTGCAAGCTGGAGGTGGAGCTGTGGGCCAGGAGCTGGAGGGGAAGATGCAGCTGGCTGAGGAGACGTTGCAGGCCATCCTCAGAGAAGCCCTCAGCCTGCAAGGTACCACGTAATGGGCTGCCATCAGGCAGGGCTGGGGAAGCAGCTGATGGGGATCTGCTTCTGGGTGGAGAGGACGTTAGTCCTTTGTGCAGAGGCATCATGCAGAAGATGACAGTCTGGAGTAGTTTTCTGTATTTCTCCAAGCATGCCCAAGGCATGGGGCCACCAAAAGTCCGACGGAAAGAGCAATCTGTGTCATTGCAGTTTTGCTGTCTCTGCCTTTGAGTTTCTTTTCACTATTGCATGTCTCTTTCCTTCTCGCCAGCTTCCGACAGATCCCTGGAAAGCCGTGTGACCAGGATGAAAGGACAAGGGTCTACCTGCCAGAGTGGCTTGGATGACGCCAAGGCAGCAGTGGAGAGGCTGATGTTTCTGGGCAGGCAGTATGAGAGGCAGGTACAGGACACCCGGCGGCTGCTGGAGACAGCCAGGCTGGACCTGAGCCGCAGTGGAGCCTCTCTGAGCCGAGCGGTAAGGGAATGTGTGCGTGTGTTTGAGTGTGTGCCATGCTTCAAACCCTGAATATGGCAGGCTATTTCTATGGGAAGCCAGGAGCTGCTGATCAGGGTGGCTCTGGAGGCTTAGCATGCCACAGTTACTAATTTCCTTGCCAAATCGGAAGCAAGGACAGGGAAGAGCATTCACACCTCTCTCTCCCCCCAGGCTATCCCAGTTTCACACTTTCCTGGAGGCTCAAACAAGATCTTGCTTCTGGCCCAGGAGGCTCTGAGTCTAGCCAACAGGTGAGCCACTCCTTGAGTGAGGGCAGGGGGCCCAGGAGCTCCCTATTCAGTGGCCTTACACGATGCTGCAGCTCCACGAGCTCTGCACAAGTCCCAAAGAAGGGGAAGAAGTGTCTGCAGGGTTGCCTTTGCTATGCTCTGCTTGCTTTGGGAGTGGTGCTGGGTGGGGTGTTTTGGAAGCATTTTCCTGGCCAGAGTTTGGCCTGTGGGCATGCAGTTGGAGCAGGCAGCATCAGCCTCTTTCCCTGTGCTCCCCTACCCTGGGGAATGCAGGAGGGGCAAGAAAGGCAGACGACCCCAGGGTGTGAGTACCCATTCTCACATGTATCACGTTGTCTGCAAGAACCTGATAAAACCACAAAGGAGGTTGAAGGAGGGAACTTGAGTGTGCAGCCCTTATGACAAGGACCCCCCTGTGCCTTTCAGCCACATGCAGGCAGCCAACATCATTGAGCAGGCGGCAAAGGGAGCACAGGACGACTCACAGCAGGCACTGGAGCTGCTGCAGGCAGCCGTGAGTGGGGAGGCAGAGGTGCCAGGCTCCCTGCAAGGGCTGCTCAGGAAGTAAGTGGAGGGAAAAGGGTGTGGGGTGGAGGCCTGTTTCCATGCCCCATTCCCTGCATCCCCGGCTACGTTTCAGAAACTTGGATGCAGGATGGTAGGACTTGGGATTGCCCTTGGGTTCACTCTTCTGTCTGCACAGGTATGAGGAGCTGAAGTCGCTGGCTGGAGGCCTGGAGGCTGATGCCAATAGGATAGCCACTGAGGCAGACAAGGCTTATCAGAGCAGCCTGATGCTCCTCAGCTCTCTGTCCCGCCTGACCAAGACCAGTTTTGGGTCCTTTGAGGTGAGTGCTTTGTCCCTGTGGGACCAGGACATCCCCTTTCATTCACTGTGCCCTCCCTGCTGCCCTTTCCACAGCTCAGCCCTCTCCAGGACCCCACTGCAGCTGGCCAGGCACTTGTCATCCCATTCCTCACTTGCCTGTGAGCAGTAGGGTGACACTGGGCCTCCGAAGCAGTGACCCCCTCTTTGTGTTCCAGGGGGAGGCAGCCCAATTGAAGCAGGATGCAGCTGCTCTTCTGAGCAAGGTGGACACTTACATGGCACAGTACAGGCAGCTGCAGAGCCGCATGGGCCGCTGGGAGGAGGAAATCAAGAAGCTCTTGCAGAGAGGAGAAGGCGAGAGAGCGGTAAGACACGGGCTGATACCCCGTGTACATGGAGCTGCAGGCTCCCACCAGCACACCTCCTACACGTGAGGCAGGTTAATGACGTGCCCCAGGACAGATAGGAGCTAGGATGGCTCACAGCAGCTTGAGCCAGTCGAGGGGCACTCATAGAAGCCTCTGCTGATGGATCAGACTGTGCTCACCTGGATTCAGGGGCAACAGCAGGCATGTGGGAACAGGCTTGTGGGTCTTCTCTCTCTGCACAGCTCCCTGCAGATGGCCGTTGTGGTTCTTGTGACTGTTCTGGGATGTTCCTCTGGCGTGTCCTTCACCTCACTGTGTCCTCTTGGTCTGTCACAGATGCTGACTCAGCTGCTGTCCCGTGCCAACCTTGCCAGGAGCACAGCCCTGCAGGCTGTGAGTGCTGGCAATGCCACCTTTTATGAAGTGGAACAGATCCTGAAGAGCCTGCGTGGTAATTTTTTTCCTTCTGACCCCTCCCTTGCACCCAAGTCTCATGTTGCAGTGGAGCATGCTGGGCAGGATGCTGATGGTCTCTGCCAGAAGTGCACTCCAAAGCAAGGTGGGAGCATCACATGCTGCTTTGGGTTGGATCTACTGTGGGGAAATGTGTCCTCAGGGTCCAGTGGCTTTCTCAGTGCTCCAGCCAGTCCAACAGCTCCTATGAGAAAGTGAAAACACCCATAGCAAGTTCTCTTTGGCAACTGCTCACTTCCCTTCCTTTCTGTCCTATCCCCACTGTTGTCAGGCTTTCTGGAAGTTGTCTAAACCAAGCCAGGACTACAGGAGAGCTCTTCCTTCTCCGTGCCTTATGAGTTCTCACAATGTAATGCTCTGCTCCATTTTCTTATGTGTTTCTTTCAGGTTTTAACTTGCAGGCAGACGACAAGAGAAGGGAAGCTGAGGATGCAATGAGGAGGCTCCCAGTTATCAGCAGCATGGTGGCAAGTGCCAAGGAGAAGACTAACAGAGCTGAAGCCATCCTGGGCAATGCTGCTGCTGAATCCAAGGCAGCCAGCAGCACTGCAGGGGAAGCGAAAGAGATCACCTTTGGGATCCAGAAGGTGAGGACAGGCCCTGATGATGGTGCCATGGAGGAGCAGATGGCTGTGACTTCAACCATCTTTGCAGTGGACCTGATGCATTTACTTCTGTGTCGACTTGCCTGTAGAGGAGTGTGTAGAGATACTTGAGCTGATTCTAAATGAGTGAGTGCGTGGGGAGTTCTGCAGACAGGTTTATCCAATGGGGATCTCTGTGGCAAGTCGCTTTAGCCACCTTGTGGTGGTCTCAGGTCTGTGGAAGGAGCCAGGTCCCAACAGCTCCACGTCCCAGTGCACCCAGGCTGACTGCTCTGTCCCTGAGCATCGTGCCTTTGCCTCCCCCAGGAGATCATGCGGCTGAGGCTGGAGGCCAACAAGACAGCCGACGGGGTCCTCGCGCTGGAGAAGGCAGTGGCAGCTCTGCAGCATGACGCCAAAGAAGTGGATGGAGAATTCCAGAGCAAGGTTTCAGAAGCTGAGGCAGATGCTGCCATGATACAGGAGGTGGGTCCCTGGCTCCCACAGCATACACGCTTCTCTGTTGAATTTTGGGCAAAAGTTTGCCTTACAGCTTCTGTCTTTCTTTCCCCAGACTACAAAGGAAGCTCAAGATGTCCATACCAAGGCTGGCCAGGCTGGGGTGGTGGTGCAGGAGACATTGGGTGTCCTAGAGGAGCTGCTGCGTCTTATGAGTAGGTTTTATCATGTTGCTGTGGTGTGCAGCTGAAATCTGGGTACTGCTGGGCTCTGGGTGGGGGTACTGAGTATTTCTTGGGAAAACGACACCTGTGGATGGAGCTGAAGTAGCTGGGAGGATTTAGTTTTCAGGCTCCACTCATGGTTCTCTCTTCCTTGTTTTCCTCCTGTGCTACAGACCAGCCTGGTGCTGTGGATGAAGAGGGCCTGAAACAGCTCGAGTTGAATTTCAGCAAAGCCAAAACCAAAACCAACCAGCTGAAGGAACAGATGTCAGAACTTGAGCAGAGAGCCACTCTACAGAAGGTCTGGGTACAGAAACTGGACAGCAGCATCGATGAGATCCTGGCAGACATTAGGAACCTGGAGGATATCCAGAGGAGCCTTCCTCCTGGCTGCTACAACACAAAAGCCATCGAATTACCCTGAGGCAGCACTGGGAGGCTGCAGCCCATGTCAGTTCACAGCAGAAGAGCTAGGCCCCTCTGCTCCCACAAAACCTGGCAGGAGAAGCTGAGCTTGGTTCTGTTGGACTTATCTTTACTCCCAGGCTCAGGGTAGTGCCTGCAGTTCACGAGTGCTGCAGCTGAAGTTCACATCACACTGGACCTGGAGAGTCTCTGATTTTCAAAACAATCCGTCCCTCAATTTCAAGAGGAAGATGCCCACTTGTGGGCTGGGATTTGCTGGTGCCATTTTGGACGTGGCTTAGGGGTTCAGCAGCAGCAGGTGCCACTGATGACCCTTTTCATAAAGCTGCAGGTTTTCCACCAGGCTCCTCAGGCAGGTGGTTTTTATTTTGCCCAGCCCTGAAGGGATGGTTTTCCCATCAAAGGTCTTCCTGGGCGAACACAGGTTTCCCTAGCATCCTCTCTCTCTCACAGACACAAAGACACAACCTTTTCTTCCAAGACTGGTTGCTTTGGTTCCTGGCAGCTTCCTGGGTGTCCCAGAGCTCAGGGAGAGCAAGGTTATGTTTGCTCTGTGCAAGCATTTGGGATGACTCTCATCCCAGGCACAGGAGCTTTCTCTGGGGGACTGCAGCCAAGCGTTGGTATCTGAGAGCCAGAGCCCATTCCCATCCTTGCTGCAGTGCCAGCATCCTAATTTGACCTGGTGAAGGATACTGAAAATGTCTCAAATGTTTCTCCACCTCTGGTTCGGTGCTGCCCATTCCCTCCCATCCTACATGTATGGTGCTGGATGTTCCCAAAGCACACTAGATGTGAGTCATTGTGCACGAGGTTTTTCTACTGTAAATCTTTCCTGGAAGAACTGAAGACAATGGTGCTCCCTACACCCACCCACTGCTTTCCTGTGGACCCACCTTTAGTTTGACACCATTTCCAGCTTTCTTCTGATACTTTTTCAGGCGAAAAAGAAAGCCCAAAGCTCTCTGGTGCTCAAAACCAGCCCTGCTGAAGTGCCCTGACCAGCATGGAGTGGGTGCTGGGCAGAGGGGAATGCTCTGAGGACTGAACACCAAATCTTGTTAACACTGCTTCTCTGGTAAAGCAGTGCCTGTGCTGTTGCATGGTTGAGGGTTTTCTGAGTAACTGTGTTATATTTGTATTTAAGTGAGATATGCTCTTACCTCTGGCACGTTTTCTTTCTCTCCCCTACGCCATAGGACAGGTATTACAGATCTGACATTATTCCTCTAGGAGTTGGTTTTTTGGAAGGGAGGAGACCAATAAATACTGAATGCTTTTGGTAAGCTCTTGCCTGCTGGTTCAGTTCCAGCGCCGTGTTTTGGGCGAGCTTGGCCATGAGTTCTTCCAGCAGCTTGTGCTCCTCAGGCTGACTCCACCTGGAGCTGGTTTGGGTTTGAAATGGCACAGCAGCAGGGAAAGATGACACCAGTAGCATCTTGGGTTTTTTTCCTTTTCTTTTGTTTATTACATAATTTAAACATTTTGCTGATAAAGTTTTTTTTTCTTTTGTCAATGACCATTTTCTTTATATAGCAACAGAAGAAAAAAAAAATTTAGGCTCCAAAACCTTTCACAAAAGTGAAATTGGTGGCATGGCAACTTCAACCCTTCCCCCCGCCCCCCTTTTTTGTTTTCCAAAAGACATTTGAAGTTCATTTCTCTTTCAGCAAATCCCACTGTTTAAAATCGGGGCTTCAAAGACCCACATCCAGGAGCTGCCTCCCACCCCAGCAGTGCTGGAAAGCCCCTTCCTCACCTCCCCGCCATCTGCATGGATCTCAAGGGATGAGTTTTTCCACACCCACCTGTAGATGTTTTCCAAACCAATCCCAGTGTTGACTGACCTGTAACAAACCCCCCTCCCACCCCATCCTCGCCCCGTTCTGTGAGTTTTACTGAGCAGATACATGAAGGCATAGATAAGACTAGTAAGACAGAATATACTCATCATCCCTATCACAACGCTATGTCTCTAAGGCATGCCATCCTAACCACGATGAGATGGAAAGCCAGCTGGCTTCCTGCACGTCCCATCTCGTGTACCTGAGGGAGGGAGGAGAAGGGGATCTGAGCTTGCTCTCAGACTTGCCGCCCTCGCTCCTTCTTTGTCTCCTCTTTTGTTATTCCATTGTCTCTTCCTCTCTTCAAAGCCACCATCCTTCCTTCCTCTTCAGCTTCTTCATCTCTCCCAGAAGTTCCAATCCCTTTGTGTGTGTGTGTATTGGAGGCTGGTTTCTAACACTGCTGCTTCTCCTTCAGCTTGGAGCTAAGAAACGTGGGTGATGTCTGAGGATGTTTTCAGGAATAACCCCTGCGTTGGGGTGGAGAGGAAAAACAGGTTGAAAACCTGAATACATGGGACGGTGGAGGCAATGGGTTTAGAGGAGTCTAGCTATCAGCTTATGTAAGTTGGGTGCTCGTGGATGAGATGCCCAGCTAGAACATATCGAAGCATTAGCTTTGTGACTCAGCAGGATGGGGACTCATCCCTGGAGGCGTTCCTACATGCTCTGGCCGCCCTCCCTGGTCTGGGATCTCCGTGCCCCCTCACCCCTCAAGGTATGTAAACAACTGCCTGGAAATAGCATGGCTGGATCTGAGGGATTCAGCATGTTTGCTGCAAAGACCCTGTATGTGCAGACTGGGTCGTTTCACCCAGCGTTTTTGCTGTTAGGGAGGTGACAGCTGCCTTCTCTGAAGGGGGCTGTGGCACACTTCCAACAGGGAGGACAGCAGTGCCCAGCAGGTCACCAACCATAGTGCAAAGTCTCATCTTTGTAGCTTCCAAAGAGCAACTTACGACTTCTTGTAGGTGTGGGGAAAAAAAAAAAGTTAGCTCTTTCTTTCCCCAAAATATCTTGGAGTAGTCTCAGCCTCCGTGTGTGCTGATACCACACTGTCCCTTGCTGGGGATAAACAAAGTGCCCTAGAATTCCCTAAATCTCACCAGCCCAGGTCTGCAGGGAATGGGCAGATGCCCAAGAGCAATAGACTTCTAGAAATGGGAAGCTGGAAGGAGCAAAGGCAGGGATAAAGGTGTGAAGGAAAGCAAGACTTGTACCCTCCTCCCTGTGGCTGCCAGCTTTCAAGAGGCTGAGCCACCAGCAGGATCCTTGCATCCTGGGATACCCAGCAGGACAGCAGCTTGCTTAAGTAACCCTTATCTGTGCAGGGCTCAAATTATTCCCTTTTGCTCCATGCTACGTGCCTTATTTTTTGGCATCTAGCTGAGCAGCTTCCGCCAGGCTTGTCACAGGCAGGAAGGCAGGAAACTGGCTTGTCCCAAGGGATGTATGAAGTACCTGAAGCCAGTTTGGAAGGGTGAATATATCATGCATAAACTTTTCAAAGACAGGAAGAGGAAAGGAGAGAAAGGAAAAATGGGAATTTGACAGCCAGCATTGGAGAGCTGGAGGCTTGAGGATGAGGACGGGCCCAGCCCTAAACAGCTGAGCCAGGCCTGGAGCAATTCTCATCAGTGGCGCCAGGCCACCTCTTTCCCTCTTCTTCCTTCCTTGCTTCTTGGTGTTATAAATGGCGGATCCCTTCCCAGGGGCTCTAGGCTGCCTCTTCTGACATGGGGCTGGAGTATAGCATCTATCCTTGGCTTTGGAGTGGGCTGAGTTCGCTTGCAGACAAGGAGAAGTGAGATGTGACATTCCCCTGATAAGTTATGCTTTGGCAGCACTGCTTGCCCCTTCAGAAATACCATCTTCATGACCTGTCAGAGCCAAGTGGAGGATTTTGGTGGCTGGGGTGTCCTTACTGCTGGCATGAGGAGGTTCTGCGGGGCACAGAACCACTTGCATTATGCCTGCCCACTGCCCACCAGGATTACATGGGAAGCAGGGCACTGTGGCAAGAGAGCTAAGGAGCTTGCACTACAACTATTTAATTAAAAAAAAAAAAAAAAAAAAAAGAAAAAGAAAGAAAAATATTCACTTAGATTTGTTGAGCAAAGAGGAAGCTCCTGCTCTGAGCATGCTGGGAGGATGGACCAGGGCGACCATTTCCCAGTGACATGCTGGGAGGGGGGATGGAGCTGTCCCTCAGTGAGCACACTGAGAACATCCCTGCCCCCCTCCCTCCCCGTATACAATGGGGAGGACAGTTCCCATAAGAAAAAGAGACCAAACCATTCCCCGTGGGGCCGTGCCGCCAGTCCCTGGATGTTGCTGCACTACGGAGCATCAGCGCCGAGAGTGAGAGGCCATGGGGTGGAGAGAGAGATGGAGACACAGAAAGAGAGAGAAAAGTGTGATGGAGAGCTGTAGAGACGTGGGACGACAGGGCTGTTCTGCTGCAGGGCCTCTGGCACTTAGCCGGAGGTGTTGATGTAGAGCTGGCTCTTGAGGATGTAGTCGATGACAGGCTGGCAGAGGTAATCCACAACGTGTCCATCCCCGTGCTGCAGGGCCAGTCTAGGGGAGCAGGGGAAGAGGAGTGTCAGAGCCTACGTGGGGAGTTGGACGGCCCCTTTCCAGGAATTCGGGCTTCCTGAGCAGGGGCTGGGAACACGGTGAATGGAGGGGCTGGCTGGGAGCACCCTCAGCATCACCCACCTGCTTTTGGTGGAGCTGACGACCGACATGGGGTGGTTCGAGTCGTCCTTCACCACCAGGATGTTGTTCTGTGGGTGGAGAAAGAAGAGGTGAGGGAAGGGAGGGATGAAAATCAGTATTTGCCACACCCGTGTCTGATTGGCCATGGAGGTCTGCTACTTGGTGGCCACATAAGTGATCCCAGTTAGCAGCTGAGGCAAAACCAAGGGGGGGAACTCTCCAGGACCCATGTGCAGTGTGACCTTGGTGGTGCCTGGGGGGCACTTCGAAGATCTCCAGAAGGTTTAATCTCATGGAAAGCGTGTAGCAAAGAGCGAGGGAGTGCAACAAAGACAGCATGCAGTCTGGAGAGCAAGATTATGAGGAGCAGCTGAGGTGCTGTGGCTTGCTGAGCTCAGAGCAGGACAGAAGGACAGGGACAGGGCCTGTGGGAGCAGCGTGGAGGGGGGGAGGGTCAGGAGTAGGGAAAGGGTCTGCTCCGTGGGGCAGCAGGTGTGGCCCTGAGCTGTCAGAGCTCAAGGAGTGCTGGGACGCTGCTCTCAGCCACAGGGCTTGGGCTCAGTGTTCCCTGTTGGGTCCCTTCTAACTGAGGATATTCCATGATTCTCTGGCTCCCTGACTATGTATGAATCCACTTACTTTGTACTTGCGGAGTATTGAGGAGTGGTTCATGATCCGATCAGGGTCTGCTCCATCCCGGGGCACCACCACGATCCCAAACTCCCCAACAATCACCTCCATCTAGATAGAATCAACACAAAGAGAGTTTTCACGACCTGCCAGTGCAAAATCTGCCACAGCCTTCCAACCCCCACCCCGAGCAGATGTGCACCCTGCAAGTACTTGGCAAAACTTGGATGGGGGTTAACCTCAGATTTTCTCTTTCTGGACAGCTTTTGGGAAAAAACTTGGATTTATTAAGGAGTGATGCTGGTGACAGGCAGAGTGATCTGTGGTGGATGAAATAAAAAGGAACAGGGTTAAACTCTGTTAATGAATGTTGAAGTTAGGCTTCAGGGAGAACTTGTCATGGTAGTAAGGACAGCAGCAGATGTTGCCTGAGGATGACATGAACTCTGCCTCACTGGAGATTGGAGCGGAGGAAGCAGCAGCTGCACTGCTGCATGTTGTCTTCACAGCCCCTCATCCCTGGATTTCTTTGTGTTGATGTTATTATTTATTAGTGTCTCGGAGATGGTACTCTGGAGCAGATCACCAGGACAAACTCTCCTCAGGATGGAAGGGAAGAGGATTCTTGGGGTAGTGCATGGATCCCAGCACCATCCTGCATACTGGGAGTAGATTGCTCCCATTGCTGTGGAGGGATGGTGACTTCTCCAGTGTTAATTGAAGCATTTTTCATCTGTAGTAGTGTTTGAGATAGGCTCATCTCAGTGCACTGAACTGTGCCTGAATTCTAGTGGGATGCTGTAGAAGCACCAACATCAAAGCCAAATACAGAGCTAAACCATCTCTGTAGAGATAATTTGCCATCTGCAGGTTGGATCTGCCTTTGCAAGGGGGGGGGAAAGCGACTTCCCAAATGCTTTTCATGTGTTTTGCCATGTGGTTGTGGTCTTGACTGCTCTCAAAATCTCACCACAGTCGTTACTGCGTATTGCTTGCCCACGTGAGATGGTGTCAGGCAATGTCTGGATGAGGGTAGACATCATTTTTCTTCTCAGTTTTCTCTTTTCTTCTTTGTTATTATTTTACTTATTTTCTTCCTTTATTATTATTATTTACTCTTCTTCTGTTAGATGCAAGCTGCTGGTATGATTTAAGGGTCTTTCAGTTCTAACATAAGGGCAACACTTCTCTTACATCAGCTTTTTTGTATACCAGGGGTGCAGAAGCCCCTGTT